TAAAACCAACCATTATACAGTAGTATTTTGTAAGAAAAACGCAGAATTAAAAATAAAGGTTAAAATTATAGAATTATTTTCTATTCTCAAGGTTCCTCCGCACATCTTGCAATCCACATATATAAAATGCAATGTGCACACACACACACACACACACACACACACACACATATATATATATATATATATATATATATATATATATATATATATATATATATATGTATGTGTATATATATGAAAGAAAGAAAGAAAGAAAGAAAAAGAAAGAAAGAAAGAAAGAAAGAAAGAAAGAAAGAAAGAGAGTGCATATGATATAGGGCTCGACACTTCACATTAACTGTCAGTTGCACGTCTCAAGACTATGGTTTCAAGCACATTTTAAGCGTGAAACTGAAGATACTGCACTCTGATTCGATATTTAATGCTCTCCTCAAGTTGGCAGGGTTTAATGCATAACCAGTTTAACGTATGTATGTCAGGCCCCATATCCATCATGTATATGCGTGGAGGAAGACAAAAATTGCCTACTTACATAGGTATCAGAATACACTGACACCCCTTTAGTGTCACAGGTGTTTTGTAACCTTGGATTAGGTTCTCCTCTTGTTATACCGTGAAGTGTTCAAAGACAATGACAGTCATTGTATCTTGCCTGAAATCCGAAAACATGTGACTGGAACACATACTACGCTCTGATCACCCATCTTTGCAGAAGTGCTAAGTTTTAATTATCCCATCAATTTTGATCGGATTATTTACATAAGTTTCTTTGTTTTTGTTCAACTGTAGACAAGATTCTCCCTCCTCCCACGCATTGAAGTTAATTATGAACTCAATCATCCATTCTATGGCTGTATAGTGCGTGCATCGCCAGTGCTGCATATGGTTTTGAATTCAGAGTTGTCCTTCTACCAGACTGGTTGCCAATCACAGCTAGATGGCCAGTCTACACTGCCATTTAATCCATAGCTGATGGATTAAGAGATGGATATACACACGTGAAGGGGTGTTTATGCGAAAATGAATGTAACGAACTCGGCGCGCCGATTTCTGTTTCCCAGCTGCTAACAGTTGCACTAGTGTAAGCTTTGGCTTAGTCAATATCGAATCAAAGCAATGTTGAAGAGGTGATGGTAAAACGCAGCAAAATTGCCCCTAGGTACAGCAAAATTTCATTTAATAAGCAAATATATTTAATAAATGGAGAGAAGAGGTTAACACTCAAACCGTTATTACTAAGATATGGATTCATTGGTTACTCGACTTTTGAACTGAGAATCATTTTCCGTTAAGCAAATATTTATTTGAAGGATTAGTTTTGCAGATTGCATGCAAATTCAGTGAGTTTCACTGGGTGCCTCGCTAGTGAAACCTTTTGTACAACTTGACTACCATTTATTATGACAGTGTAATTAAAATATAACTGCTATAGTTCCAGTCAGCTGTAAGTCTTGGAAATCGTTGTTAATGGGATCAATTCGAACTTCACTGGTTGTCCCACTACTTGTTTTGTACCAGATTAATCTTAGAAAAGTAAAGACATCATAATCTTTAACGATTTTAAGCATAACGATTCATCGATTAATTTCATTGGAAAAATATGACGACAGTTATTAATGTAGCTTCTAGTCCCCCGACTGCTACAACTGGCCTAGCCTATGTTCCACCGTGCAGTAATGATGATTGCTCCTACGTTGGTCGTTCACCGATCCATTTAATATTTGCTCGATTGTATGAAGCGTCTCGTTCTTCACTGCTCGTGTGGGGCAAGTTCGAATCGGGTTGATAATGACCGTCCAACATCAAGCTTTCTTTTTCATGAAGGACAACAGGAAGAAGGGCGAGGAGAGGAAGAGCTGGTGACGGAGAAAAGAAGGTGAAGTTGTTGAGGTTGGGTGAGGATGATGGATTGAAGGAAAATCCATCAGCCGACACGCTTCCCTCGTCGAGACTAAAACCGAGATAGTCAAAAGATTTTCTATACAAATTACATCTTATCAAATGTCGAGCTTTCTCTATCCTTGTTAGCCAATATCGTCATCACCACCCTAGCTCAAATGTTTTCTTTCTTTCTTTCTTTCTTTCTTTCTTTCTTTCTTTCACATTTATGCATTTTTATTTAATTTTTCGTATCATTTAATTTTTTTGTGTGTTTTTCTTCAATCTGTCATATTTTCTTTTTTGTTTTTCGTTCTCATTATCAATAGCTTTCGATTTTTTCCTTTTTATTTATTCACATATTTCACTCTTCATTCTTTCACTTTCATTCATTCATTCTTTTTTCATTCGTTCATTAATCTTTCTTTCTTCTTAATTCGTTCGTCGTTTTCATTCTTTCATCTTCATTCGTACATATTGTTATTTTCATTCATGTTTTTTTTCCTTTTTATTCTCCTTTGCCTTTTTCTTTCTTTTTCTTCATTCGTTCATGTTTTCTTTCTTTAGTTTTTTTAATTAATTTTATGTTTTTTTCTTTTCTTTTCTTTATTTAATTTTTTATCATTCATTAACGCATTTTTCTTCTTGCATTAATTCGGTCACTTTTTTGTTGTCTGCTTTTTCTTCTTTCCTGCTTCATTCTCTTTGATTCTCAATTTCCCATTCAGGTTGGATTTTTAAACTGATTTAACGACAATTTCTTTACACACTTAAAAGATGCACACTTTCACAGAAGCAGACGACTACATACATATCTTCTCACGTCTTCATACATATAAACACATGCAAAAAAGCGTGCGCGCACACACACACATGCATGTGCGCATATATGCATTGCATGTTGTATTTAATGGCTTCGTAAAACGCATAAAACTGTTCAAAGCATCCTCCATCCAATATTTTACGTGTGATTCTCGGAAGTAAAGTATTTAAAAATCTTTGTAAACAAAGGAAATACATTTTATTTGTGTTGTGTCTAGAAGTCAAAAATTACATCATAACTTGCATATCTGACAGGAAAATGATCCACCATGCACCCAGTCGAATTGGAGCACTTTCATGTCTATCCCCCCCACAACATACATACATAATTGGAAAACATGTGGATTTTTATTTTTTAAAAAGGAACGTAAAACACAATGGTATGAAATTATAGTCACTGTATCACATAATTACGTAGAGGTGTGCACTGGTTCTCAGTGGCATGTACCATTGACACAAATGCACAAGCGTTGATGCACATGCCTGCGTGCACATACGCACACATATAAAGTGAGAGAGAGAGAGAGAGAGAGAGAGAGAGAGAGAGAGAGAGAGAGATGCGTAGCTGAGTAGACAGACTGGGGCAGATATGCAAAGATTGAGATAAACACTAAACACGGAAGATATATATATAGCATCAGATAGAAAGTTACGAATACAATGATTTCATCAAAAATAGATAGATAGATAGATAGATAGATAGATAGATAGATAGATAATCTTTTACCCAAAAAATGTTTGTTTCAAAATCACCGTGGAGTAGGGTTTACTGTTGGTTGAAGTGACTGCTACCCACCCACACTGCATTTATTGCATATATTTATTTATAAACAACAGGATAAATTATTTATACTTTGCAAGCTGTTACTAACACTTTATCGGAAAGTGGGGAATGATAAATTAATGAAAATCAATTTTATTTCTTTATTTTCTCTTACTTTGACAAATTTTTGGTAAGTTGCTGCGTATTATGTAATGGAAAATATCTACCTACCTACCTACCTACCTACCTACCTACCTACCTACCTACCTATCTATCTGCCTGTCTTTATCTATCTATCTATCTATCTATCTATCTATCTATCTATCTATCTTCATGTTAATATCTGTTGATATATGTGCTCGTGCGAGTATATCTATGCGTTGTTGGGTGGCTGCTTACCTTTTCTGGGTAAAGGAGATGTGTGTAATCTTTCTCTCAAACTTCTCTCTCTCTCTCTATCTTTCTCTGTGTTTCTACATCTTTTTCTTCATATGCTTGTGATGCACATACTAATAGAGAGAGACAGATAGAGAGAAAGAGCGGTGTACATACGTTCTTGCTTATTTACCACCGCACATCTAGATATGCACACATAAGGGTCAAACTAACTTCAACAAATAGACAAACACGCCTTCACGATATTTTTGTACGGAACGACATTGCAAAAGCCACGTGTGCGCGCACACACGTACACACATGCGCACACACGTACACACACGCACGCACGCACAAACACGCACGCACAAACACGCACGCACGCGCTCACACACACACACACACGCACACACACACACACACACTGTTTTAAGCATTACATAGAGAAACTAAAATGATTCTATTTGTTTTTTCTGAAATCAATCCTCGGATATGTATGCGATGGAGTGGTGTAGGTTGTCTTTGTAAGCATTTTTGTCTCCTCCTTTTTAGTTTTCATTAATTTCTCTAGTCTTTGCATAACGTTTTCTCCGTTTCTTTATACTACTTTTTATTTTCCTTTCTCTCTCTATCTTTTCTTTGGAAGATGCATTCACCGTTTTTCTTTCTTTCTTTTGGAATTTCTTTCAAATTTTTCTTAACCGTTCATTTACTTCTTTTTCAACGTTGTCATTTTTTCATTTTAATCTCTATATATCTTCCATCTTCTTGAAAACGAACAAGATGCTTTCATTATTCCATTCTTTTTATTCTCTTATTGTCATTCTTCATCCTGTGCGAGTCTTCTTCTTTTTTGTTTTTCTCTTTGTTTGTTTTTTTCTTTCTTTCTTTCTTAACCTCTACTCTCATCTTTTCCTTCTTTTTTCCGTTTTCCCATTATTGCATAAGAAACTCTCTTTAGTCCTGCTCTCCTGTTCCCAACCTCCACGTCCAGCAGCACTTAGCTTCCTTCATGAACATGAATATATAATTTCCTTATTTCCTTTGGTCCCTTCCACAAAACACAATATTAAAAATAAATAAATAAATAAAAAGTAATACTACAACCCTTACCAGAAATTACGATGGGAAAAAAACAACAACTCGAATAAAAAAAAAATCACAATGTGTATCGACACAAAATAAGAATAATCGAAAAACAAATAATAGAGTAAGGAGTGTGAAGAAAGAAAGAAAGAAGGAAGGATGGAAGGAAGGAAGGAAGGAAAGAAAGAAAGAAAGAAAGAAAGAAAGAAAGAAAGAAAGAAATGAATGAATGAAGGAAGGAAGGAAGATGATTTGAGCTTTTGTAGTTAGGCTAAGTTCAAGAAGAATTTTAGCTAAGACAAGATTTATATCATCTGCTTTTAAAAGATGTTTTATTTTCAGTGTTACAAGTTCTGGGGAACATGAAAGATATAGGCAATCAAGCAGGTAACTACATACTTTGGAGATAGGGTAGAGAGACTGCTAGACAGTGAAGAAGAAAGAAGTGAAATCGAAAGATTTATCTCTCTCTTTTTTTTTTGGCTTTTTTTTTCTCTCTATTATATATATATATATGTCCAGAGAGAGAGAGTTCGAAAAACGAGAGCAATAAAAAAAAATTTCTAATTGTCGAAAATGCTTAAAAGAGAGACATAGATAATAGATAGATAGAAATAGATAGATAAATGGTAGATAGATAGATAGATAGATAGATAGATAGAGAGAGAAAAGAAAAAAATATCGATAATAAGAGATACAATTATAATTGAGAGAAAAGGATACCGAGAAAAAATTGAAGAATTTTCTGAACGGGCGAGAGACGAGATATATGTGATGTGTGTGAGTAAGAGATAGAGGGGGATGAGATATCGTGGTAGAGAGAGCGCGAGACGAGGAATGAGTAAGTTAAAGTGAAATAAGCACTTGACCTGATTACTTGATTGAATTTAGGCAAGGAAAGAAAATAAGAACTTTCTGCATTTATCTGATGTCGATCTTATATCTGCGTTCTACCTTCTTTCACACACACACACACACACACACACACACACACACACACACACACACACACAACACACACACACACAAAAAAAAGACACACACGCATGCATATGCGCGTACATTCTTTCTCTGCAGCATACGCATGCACTCTATTACATGCATTTTCTTTTATAAGCACGTAAAAATGATCTACTTTAACCTACCGACCTCTCTCTCTCTCTTTCTCTCTATACATACATACACACACACACACACACATATATATATATATATAATTATCTGTCTGTAATGTCTAATATACTCGCAAATACTTTCTGTCTCACACATACACGCACCACATATATTTTGAAAATATTCACAATATATACATAGAGATAGTTCTTTCTAACCCCCTCCTCTCAAAAATGGGCAAATGGTTTGGTTTCATATATCAACTTGCAAATATATATATATATATATATATATATATATATATATTTTATTTATATATATATATATATATATATTTTTTTCATATATATATATATAATCGTATATATATATATATATGACTTTATATAATTATGTTTTTTTTTTTTTTTTAATTATTATATATATATTTGATAATATTATGGTCAATATATATATATATATATATATATAAATATATATATATATATATATTATAAATTCCCAAGAGGATAGAATTCCAAGTAGAACTCAATGTCCACGAGAGAGATAAGGCGATAATAAAAGGCTCGAAACACTAATATTAGATGGTTATAATTTATTACATTGGAATCGTAATCACGATCCAATTCATCAGACCTACAAATTCAAAAAGAAATCGGAAAATATAACTCCAGGTATAAAAATCAAAATTTTATATATATGTATAAGGTATTAGCGTTAGTGTGTGCAATATATAGTGACGAGTTTTAAATATTTCTGCATGTGTAGAGAGAACGGTTTAAGCTAATTGATTAGATGTACATTTAGTTTATAGATATGTATTATTTTCATCTATATGTTCCATATTGAATGTATTTCTCAGTATATATAAACATGAATGTTACCTTTTTTTTATATATATATATATATATATATATTATATATTTTATAGATAGATAAATAGATATTTGTCTCATAGATAATAGATAGTGTAAATTTTAATGGATGCCTGATTATATTATTTTTATATATATATATATATATATATATATATATATATATATATATATATATATATATATTTGATTTATACTGATATGCATATTTGGTGTATGTTTTTTGAATAAAAAATCTATATAATTACAATTTTTTTCGTCTTTTCGACTCACTATATCTATCTTTCTATCTATCCATCTATGTATCTATTATCTATCTGTAAGTTGCATCGTATGTTTATTATATCAAGCTGTGCGCTTCCTGCAATCAAATATGCAGTTTAAAAATTAAATATGCAAAGTAGAAGGCATCAAAATAAGCATAATGGAAAATAATTGCCACAAACGTCCAAAACATCTATTTCAGATCGATATCGATGTTGGTGTCATTTTCAAAACAGTTGAATCTGCTTTTATTAAAATCGTATTCAGACAAAATAATCGTTTTCGTCTTAAGCCTCTTTTTAGGTTTTATCTTATGCCAGAATCGTACATTTTACACGTACAAAGACGTATTTTACCAACCGATTTTAAAGTAATTTTTATTTATTTTTTATCTGTTTGTAATTAGGTTTTTGTTTTTATTTCATTTCTTCATCAAATCAATCTTTCTCGATTCGAATATTTGGGCTCTTTTCTCTTACCTTAAATCACACACATCTTTACACAAAATACCATTGAATCAACGATTATTAATATATATTAAATATAAATATTATGTGTGTCCTGCTGGTTTCCCCTTAACTTGGTATGAATATATTGTTAAAATTTACTATATTTATAGGGGAAGTGTGTTCAGTATAATGAATAGAGAGTTTATTGAAAACAACGTTGACATAAATATCAACACTGCATGGTGACTGTCTTTTGATGACTTTGACTTTTCCCAGCATTCAGTGTTGATTATGACCACATTGTCTACATTTTCAAACAAAAGAATTTTCGATACTGAACACTCGTCCGCTATAAATATAGCAAATTTTCACACACACACACACACACACACACACACACACACACACACACACACACACACACACACACACACACACACACACACATATATATATATGTATATGAAGAAATATAGTTTTAACGTGTGCTATATTTATCCCATAAAATTTCAATATCAGAGATAGAGCTATATGTATATATATATATATATATATATATATATATATATATATATTAAACACACACACACGCATACACACACACATATATATATAGACTGTATATTGCATTTTATGTATGTGGTTATTTATCAAATTTCTAAATCTAACAACAATCTGTGAAATTCTCTTGCCTTGTCGCTCTATAGTAGGCAGTCATTGTAGAAATTTATTATGTTTATTTTGTCTCACCTAAGGCCAAAATAAAGGGGCATTTAGTGAAAACTAAACTTGTTAGCAATTGTATACGAGATTGAATTTCTATCCATCACTTTACAACAGGCGTCCTTGAACATTTCATATCTTTTTACTTCTTTATTTATTGACCCTCAGAAAACGAATAAACCAATCAATCATTTTCGGAATGTTAAGGTGATAGAGGCAGTAAATGGATCAAATTTCTTCCAGGATAGATAAGAAAAACACCAACATGTTTAGTACAAAATGAGTCTTCATTGAAAGACCATCAGATGTGAGTGAAATTGTTAGCTGTTTTGCTTGATCGAACCATTAACTATTTTTAAAGTAAATTTTATTTGGTAATTCCTTCAGAGTTTTGAACGCGATTTTTTTTTTACTTTAGAAATCCATTAAAACCATTATTATAATGTGTTGAAATGTTTACTCTCGAAATAAGTTTGAAATCATTTATTGTAGAATGCATTTACTACAGAAATGCACTGGAAATCATTTATTATAAAACGTATTTAAAATACTTTACTATTGTTTTTGCTCCGGAAACACATTGAAACCATTTACTATAAGAGTGTATTTAAAAGAATTTACTATCGGTTATACGGTAAATGAATTATTTAAAAATTCGTAAAATAATGAATTAAGACTTATTTTTTAAAACTGCATTGGAAATAATTTAATGTAGAAAGGCATTAAATCATTTACCATAGAAATCTTACTTATTATAAAACGCAGATTGTGTGTGTGTGTGTGTCTGTAACGTTTATATATTGGATCGAATTTCCTACATTTTTTAGCCGATTTCAACAAAACTTCACAGGACTACATAAAATTACCTTTTGTGGTGGTTCTAACGGCACCGAAAATGGGAAAAAATACATTGTTTTTAAACAAAATCAATTTGAAAACACGATTAAGACACATCGTGAGAATGAAAGGGGGGACAACTCACCCACGAAAATGTAAACAAAAGGGCATAGCATGATGAAAAAAAAGCCGAACTTGACGAAAACAAAATTTTTCATCGTCTAATGTTCATATTATTATTAAAGAGGAAAGATCAAAGTATTTTTTGGGGTATTTTTTTTTACATTTTTAATCGTTCTTAGCATTTACAGAAATTTTCGTTAAAATATTGTTTTTTTTTGGTCAAAAAAAAAGGACAGATAATCAATCATTTTTTTTCGATTTGATAAAATAAAAAAAGATAATTCCAACGTACTTTAGGGCCGTTTTTTCCAATTCCCTTTGCAATTTGTTACAAGGCAGATCAATAAGGCATTGGTTCTATTTGAAATTAATTCAATATTTAAAAGAAAGTATTAAGAAATAATTTAAAAATGCCGACGTAAGAAATCTGATAGACAAAAACAACAATATTTCGAAGATGATAATTATTAAGGAAAGAACACAGTACTTGTAATAAATTAATAAACCCAAATAAAGTTAATATTTTTTGTATTAGAAACAACGAGTGGAAAATATATTCAAATCAGAATTCTAATTATGAATCACCACAAGCAAAATATGCAATTTTTTTTACTGTATTCAATAAGTAAAAATCATAAATTGTAAAAGATTACAGAGAAAGGCTATTTACATTTTTCAACCGATTTCAACAAAACTTCACTTTTTTTTGGTAGGATAGCAAGGTGAACAAGGCGGGAAAAGTTTTTTTTTTTCAAAACAAGTGTAATTTTTTTAATAAATGGAAAAACAAGTAGATTATCTCGTGGTACGAGATCAGGGAAAATGTTCCGCGCCAAAATAGGATAGCAAGGTGAACAAGGCGGGAAAAGTTTTTTTTTTTTTTAAGTTCTGGAAAAAGGAACTCGTTAACACGAGGTGTAGATGTGCACAGATAAAAAAAGTACTTACTGTGGATTTGGGTATTGTAAGTGTGTGAAGTGTTTTTGTGTTGTTTTTGTTTTTTATACCCTTTTTTGTTCAGGTTCACGGTCGTGAGAAAGTTCAGTCATCTCAGATTTTGGGATCAGGCATTGAATTTGCTGCTAAAAATTATTTACGACGAGCCAAAAGGGACGAAGACTTATTTGTTGTTGGTTGCATCGTCTTGAAGAAAATTATTTGCGACGAGCCAAAAAGGATGAAGAATTATTTGTTGTCAGTAAGATATCCCTGTCTGTATTTAAGGTTGACTGACGAGGAATAAATGAGTCAATTCATGGATCGAAATTTTTAGTCCGACTGAACTCAAACGATTAGTTTGTCCGTGACGTCAGAGAAAAACGCGGGAAAAACGGTAATTTAAATTTGTTAGATTGGTGACATCAGCAGGAGCTGATAAAACGATAATAACTTGTAATTAGTTTTAAATAACTAAAGAAAAGGTTTACTACTATATTTAGCTTAACGAGAAAGGAAGGGGTGTAATCAGTGGACGCGCGCGCACACACGCACA